TCGAGCTAGAGCGAGCTCAGGCTTCACTCATGTTTGGCTCTTTAATATATCGAGCTCAAGAAATTTATTCGTTTTCAATTTATTTGCTTAACGAGCCAAACACGCGCTGCTTGCAAAAAATGAATCGTAGTATATAAGGACAGAAGCAAAATTCCAATCAGGTTATTTATATTAAAATATCATTCAAATAGAAATTGATATAATTTTATCCTAATTTTTAAATTAATATTTTGAATTGATTATAGATTTGTGTAGTCTTGGAGTCAATTATATTATTTAAAAAAATATTAATCAATTATATATATATATATAGAGAGAGAGAGAGAGAGAGAGAGAGGAAGTGCCAAATTGGTCCACTATTTACATAAAGCCATTTTCAGCACCCAAAAAAATAGTTCTCATTGTGGATTATTTCAACCCATATTTAAAGAGTTTGTGTGTTGAATTAACACTTTTATAAACTCTGGGATTAAAATGATCTCTTACAAATAATCAGAAAACTTAATTATTTCAAATCAAAATAACCCGAATGCAAACATCTTTGTTCGTGTTTGGCTCATTTATATATCGAGCACAAAAAAATTATTCGTGTCTGATTCGTTTACTTATCAAATGAATTAAGCACAAACTATTTAAAAATAGGATAAGCTATTCATGAGGAGAGAGCCATTTGGACGAGAATATATTATCTTTGGAGTCCTGACGCAGGGACCCAATTAAAAATTGACACATGTTGTAGTTCATAGCTTTCACATCAAATTATTTATTTGGATGTTTTTTTACAAGTAACATGATTCTACCTCTAGTACAATTATGCTGTATTACGTTAAAATTCCGGACGCAATAATTTCTCTTTTGACGTCTCTATTGCCAGGTACGGACCAAGCCCCGAACCCATCGACGGCTTCTACCTCGCGCTTATCATCGACGCCGAGATCGCTCTCCTTCTTGGAGACCAGACTGAAGAATTCCTGAAAACGATCAACGAGAAGCTCCCAATGGCTGATTTTTCATTACAGTGCAGGAGAGAGCAAGTTACCGGCCGCTCAATACACTCCATTACTAAAGCAAAGTTTGGCGACGCAGGGAAGGTTCATGAGATAGGCATGAGATGCAGAGATGGCAAGGAAGCAGAGCTGCTTGTTTCCATTGATAGAAAGAAGGTGGTTCATGTGGAGAAACTGAACTGGAATTTTCGAGGGAATGAGATCATCTTCGTCGACGGATTGCCGGTTGATGTGATGTGGGACATGCATGGCTGGTGGTTTGGTGGCTTCGTCGGCCATGCCGTGTTCTTGTTCCGGCAGAGGAGGAAGGTTGAGAGCAGGCTGTGGTTGGAGGAGAGGGAAACCGTTGGTTTCTCTTTGCTGATCCAGGCTTTCAGAAGTTGTTGATGGTTCATGTTTAGGATAAAATATTATGCCAAATCACTTGTATGACAATGTAGTGTCTCGTGGTTGGCCGTCTGGACGTGCGATATCCAGATACAATAACAATATTTTTTCCATCTTTTGAGACTCAAATTTGGTCATTTTGAGTAAATTCTTAGCTGATTTCTATTTATTTTGTTTAATTGACTTTATTAGAGGTATCTTGTTTTGAATTAGAATCATTTGGCTAGAGTTTTATCTTATTTTCTTTTGCTATGGTAGTATTAAGTAGGGTTGTTAATTATTTGATTTCGAGTTGAGATGGAGTCAGCTTAGAATCAACTTTAGGAAATATTCGATTAAATTTTTTTTCCTCAAAGCTCAGCTAATTTATTTCAATTCAATCTCGACTTGAGCGAAAATTCGAATAATTTTTTCAAGCGATTAATGATCTTCAAT